TCCTTCTTTCTGTGGTTTCCTCTTACTACTTTGGGTTTTTTTTCCAGAGATGTCATGCAGGTAATGGGTTTGGATTAATTTATATAATACCTTGAAAGTTGCAAGGAGGCTGTATGTCAGCCTGTTTCCATAAATGCAAACTCTCCAACTAGTGAAAAGAATCATTGGGTTAAAAAGCTGTATAGGCCTCAAGTTGAAATAGGGATGAGAAGCTGTCAGTCAATATTTGTTATCCCTTGCTCTGCCACAGTTCCAGAAACTTCCCGTTGTCATAACCCTGTCAGGCAAAACTGATGAAGACAATTTGAAACTACAGCCCTGGCAGGCTGTTTTCCAGCTGACTGCTTCCTTATGCTGCCAGTACTGTGCTTAAATTAAAAAAATCATGTAGTAGCATCAGTTAAGTCAGTGTGTGCAGGGACAGATGTGTCTTTGTGACCAAAACCTGTTTGTTCCTTCGTTCACCTCCTACCTTTTCAGTTTATCAGGGGCCTGTTTGCTTTTCTCAAACTCCAGGCCATGGTGGTTACGACAACACTGTAACACTGAATTGATTGTCATCCTTCTGAGAGAGTTCAAATCCAGGCAGTCACAATCTTTTGGTCTGACAGTGCTGCTTATTTGTGACAGCTGCTGCCTTCAGAAATAAGAAACTTCCTCTGCCTTCTCTATTAGTTAATTTTTATCTCGTGTGCGACATAGAGCTCAATAGTGTTGATTTGCCTGTCATTTTTGCTTTAATCACTTCCCAGTGATTTGTGATTTCTTTTGAATAGGGAAATGTTATTTGCAGTGCTATCACAAATTGTAATTATAATTATTGTGTTCAGTATGTTTATAGATAATTGAAGTAAGTATATTGCAAATGCTTGGCATTTGCTGTAGTAAACATCTATGCTTATTTTTAGTATCCTGAGTAGTAAAACATGTAGGTATGGAGAAAATAAACTTGGACAATGCAAGTGTGACTAGTAGGATTTAAAGATACTGCAGTTCATATGGCAAAAAGTTTTCATAATTAATTTTAAAAGTCCCTAATGTTCTTTGCTTTTCAGAACTTCCACTTAAAATACTGCTTATGCTGCTGTTTACTGTTTATAGCTTCTCTTCATTGAAATCTCTGTTCAGGTAATTAAAGAAACTTCATTCTCAATGCCAGGAACAACAGCATTTCTTTGGGCACTGGAAACAGTCTTGTCTTAAGGGGGGCAAACAGCACAGAAAACCGATGCTGAAGTATCAGGTTGAAGTGTTACTAGTCAAAAGATGCTGCTGCAGCACTTCTCAGGAGGCAGTGCTTTAGTTAGGATTATTACAACACATCCTGGTTATGTTTGAGTTGTGACAGCTGCCCAGTTAGTCCCAGCAGGCTGTAGATCCCCACCTGCCTGATACCCTGTTAAAGCATGGAGTTGTGATGCTGTATCCGGTGAGGATTTAATTCAGTCTCGGAGCACTTATTACAGTGAGTTATCTGGAGATTGTTTATCTTACTCTGCTCTGGTTTTTTACAGTAGTAGTATTTTAATGTGTGGAAGGGACAGGTTATAAATAATGTACATTACAAGCTGTGATTTGTCAACCAAACTGCAAACATTTGGCTACCAGAACATGTAATTGTCCAAATCATCCTGTGTAGTTTTACAGCCTATTGATCTCTTACCTACTTGACCAAAGGTACTGCTTATCCTTACAACCCCTGTAGTCTCCACTTCCCTGTTTCTCAGACTTTTTTCAGGGCAAAACCAAGCTGTAATGAAGAATGTCAAAAGGGCTGTAAACATGTGTTCAGTACTTCAAGCACCTGTTTTTTGTAGGTGGGTTTTTTTGGACCAGACTGCTTTTTCCCCCTTAGTATTTAAGAATTCAATCATTCTGTCTCAAGAACTCTAACTAAAAAAGCTCTGTAGGAGCTTAGCTTTTGTCTAGAGACGGGGCTTTTGCAAGTTTCTTGTTCCTAACTTGCCAAAACGAACAAATTCCTGTCAGAACTTGAAATTCCCTGTAAGCTACCTGCAGTCAAAACCCTACCACCGATGTCCTTTGCCAGAGAGATTGGCTAGACAGTACATCCTACAGAAAGCTTGGGGGAAGAAGTTGAAATAAGTGTGACATTTCCCGTCTTCGGATATAGAACAACTTTGGTGGAACAAGTGTGTGTGTGAAGGTCTGTTCAGTTGTTCACTGAAAGGAGGTGAGGTGAAATACAGCAGCTGATAAGGTTTCTCCTTAGATTCCAAGGCATCTTGGAACTTGGTGTAAAAGCCACATGATAAGGAAATTAGCTGTAGTCTTGGCTATCATGCTGGGGTTCTTTGTTTTGATTTGTTTTTCTGAAACTTTTTAAATTGTTATTTAAAGCCTTGTTGTGAACTACTAGATATTCTTTGCTCTGGTCACCAGTGATAGCTGAAAAACAGAATTGTTATTTTCAGTTAACATCCTGTATTTTAACGCTACCTCTTTTTTAATTCCTCTGACAGGAGAGAGAAGCCTCTCCTTAACTGGCTTGAAACAATCTACCTCATCCAGCTCGTGCCTTTGGAAATCTTCTGTGAAATTATATTTCCCCTGACCCCCTGGAAATGGCACTTCCCTTTTGTCCCTCTGTTGCTGACCTCTGTATACTGTGCCCTGGGCATCACATACGCTTGGCTCAAACTCTACGTCTCTGTCTTGACTGAGAGAATTCCTGTCAGACAAAAGGCCGAGTAAAGCCACAGTGCTGGGACCAGTCCCAGGATATCCCTTTGAGGGGATTACTGGCACAGTTGTATGTCACAAGGACATACAACTCTGGATAAGACACAGTGTATGTGTACCATCGCCACGTGGGGAGGTTTTCTTCCAGCACTCCTGTACTGCCCAACGAGGATACCTCTGATCAGAAGCACAGTTACTCACAGTAGTGTGGAGGGCTGTGGATAAACTGTGAAGCTCAACAAGGTCCAGACTTCTGTCCCAAGGAAAACCTGCCTGATTCTCCCATTACTGTTTGTATTTGAATAAAAGTTGTTGTGTCAAATTAGAAGGGATGATTGCTGTGTAGGAGAGCGTTGTCACTGTGTTCTGTGGAACTTGTAAATTAAAAACTTGACATTTTTTCTTTGAGCATTTCTTGCAATTTTTTCAGCTCACATCTAAGCCCTGCTTTTGAGGGACACCTGCACAAGTAAGGATGTAGTGTCTAGCTGGAAACTTTGTCAAAATCTTGAACACTCAAATATCAAGTTTTAATATGTCCATATCCCACTGACCTCCTTGTTTCATAGATACTCTTCAAAGAGGCTTTAATATTCTTCTGATACTTATTTGTGTAGCCCAGATGACCAATTGAGGCTTGGGACTGAAATGAAGAATTTTTTTTTTAATACCATTAAATCTACCCTATAATGTGGCTGCATAATGGTATTTATTTGTAATTAATGTAAAAGTCTGCAACTGTAACAAAAGATCAAGTGTCCACAGTTCCTCTAGAAAGTTAAAAAAAAGGTATATTGTATTCTGCCTCTGTGGAATCATGTACTCTGAAAGGTAAGTTATTTCTGTGGTAAATAATTGTACTTTTTAAACCCTATATAACCATCCCTAAAAGATGTTGCTCTAGAGATTGGGGTCTGGTTTGGATTCCAGTGCTGACATGAAATGGGAGGTGAAGGGATGGATTTGTTTTGGTTTGGTTTTTCAAGTAGTTTTTGAACTTTCTTCCATGTTAGTTGAAGAACCGGACCCTTTGGAGAGGATAGTCCAGGGGATAGTTATGCTTTTTGAGTTCTTTGAATATTTCAGATGTTAAGAGTGGGGCTCTTGTTAGGACAGCAGGTTGAGTAGTTGCTGTGGCCATTTCTGTAACCAAAGAGCTTGTGCATTTAAACTTTTCACAGTCCATGAGCTTGTATTCATACCTTTTCACTCTGTTTTTCATTACTTTCTCATAGTTTCTGCTTTTTTTACACCTCAGCAGCTTTGCCATACTCTTTTTAGCTGCTGTGGCTGCCGTTGATGCCACGGTGCTTCTTACCACCTGTATTTTACTGCTGGTCTAGGCCTCAAAGCTCTGCACAGGGTAAAGCATCCACAGTGCTTGTGTTTGTCTGCGTGGAGGTGCTGTCCTGTGTAGGGAAACAATAATATTTAAAAAACCAACCAAACAAACAAACAACAAAACAAACAAAACAAAACAAACAAAAAACAAAAACAAAAAACCACAAAAAACGTGGCTCTTCTGCAGCAGCACCTTTGCAAGTCCGGCCTAACTCCTTCCAGAACAGATTGCCCAGGGAAGCTGTGGTTGCCCCATCCCTGGAAGTGTCAAAGGCCAGTTTGGACAGAGCTCTGAGGAGCCTGGTCTAGTGGAAGGTATCCCTGCACATGGCAGAAGGTTGTAATGAGATGATCTTTAAGGTCCCTTCCAACCCAAACTATTCTGTGAAATTCAGCCTGGGGCAGTGACTTAAGTGACCACCTATGGCCATTCTGTAATTCCTGCTTCAACTTAAGCATCTCCCACTGGGGAGCAGTGACTGCCCAACCTCCTCCTGTGTGGAGAAAAGCTAAATAATACCTTTTTAGGGAAGAGGCTGAGAAGCCTTTAGGACCGGTGGTGTCTTTTTAATGCAAGGGGTTTTTTAATGGTTCCATCAATCCTGCTATGGTGGCAAGTGATTTAATGTGGTTTCGTAATAATTAAAAAGGTAAAAACTAACAATATGGAGTAGGTCTCAGTATTTAATCTGTCGGCAGGACGACCTCTGAAAATTAATGGGCTTCGATTTTAGTGCTTTATTAATCCCCTAATTTACTTACCGACCGGCCTCCCTGGCCCTCCAGAGGCAGCGGGGCCGCCTCACCCAGTGGGCTCGGGGCTGCGGGAACCGCCCCCCCCCCGACCCCTGCTAGAGCCGCTCAGCCTCGGGTAGGGGTGGGTAGGTGGGTCTGTGGGCCGGGGGGGTTGGATTTGGGGGTTTTTTTTGGCGAAATAACCAAAATCAGGGGAAAGCAGCGGAACGCGGGAGCGGGACGCGGGCGGGCGGCGGAAGGTGCAGCCGGCGCTCCGCTCCGCCGAGTCACCTTGGGCGGGCCGCAGCCATGGTGTTCCTGCCCGACGAGTCGCGGTCGCTGCCGCCGCCGCCGCTGTTCAACAGATGCTCGGTCTGGCTGGGCTTCGTGGGGTGGATGACTGCGCTGCTGGACAACACCTTCAACCAGCGCCCCGTCCTCCGAGCCGGTGCGAGGAGACAAGGGCGAGCCTGAGGCGAGGGGGAAACGGGGCGGGGGGGGGGTGGCTGAAGTGAGAGGCTGGGGAAGGGGTTTTGTGGGATTTGGGGTCACTCTGAGGGATAAATGCAGGTGGAGGAGGGGAAACTGCCAGGAGTGAGGGGCTGGAAGGGGTAGGGGCGCTGCAGAAGTGAGTGTGTGGGATTTGGGGTGACCTTGAGGCTTATAGGGGCGGGAGTGAAGGGGAGGGGGCCCTGAGGGGGATATAAGGAGGGATATAGTGAGGGATACGGGGGCTGGGGGTGGGATAGAGGGAGAATGTGGGGCTTGGAAAGTGCTGTGTGGGATTTGGGGTCACTGTGAGGGATAAATGAAGGGGGAGGAGGGGAAACTGCTGGGAGTGAGGGGCTGGAGGGGGCTGCGGGAGCGGGTGTGGGAAATTTGGGGTGACCGTGAGGAATACTGGGGCTGGGGGAGGGAGACCTGAGGTGAGAGGATGGAGAGATAGAGCAGATTTGGAGGGCTGGGGAAGGGGGTATGTGGGATTTGGAGTGACCTTGAGGGTTGAAGGGGAGGGGGCCCTGAGATGAGGGAGTATGTGGGGCTGGTGAATGGAATGTGTGGGATTTGGGGTCAGTCTGAGGGATAAATGGGGAGGGAAGGTGAGGGAACCCTGAGTGAGGAGTGATGGGAGGGTTGGAGGGGAATGGGGTGCTCTGTTGTGATTTTGGCTGTCTCTGTGAGGGGATGGGAGTGAAGGAGTGGGAGCCCTGAAATGAGGGGTCTCTTGGCCGGGGAGGATTGGAGGTAATTGGAGGGGGCTGAGTAGGGGACGTGGTATGAGTGTGGAGGGGATTTGAGGTGACTCTCTGAGGGATATGGAGGGCAGGAACGGGAAGGAGCCCTGAGGAAAGGGGTCCTCCGGGGGTCTGGCAGGGGCTGTGGGAGGTGTGGGTGTGTAGAGACCTTCACTGGGGGAAAGCAGGGAGGGAGGTGCTGGGGCATGAGGGACCCGGGGAAAGCAGAGGGCTACCTGAGGCCCCCAGGGAGAGGAGCTGGGACAGGGGGACATGGACATTCCTCTTCCTGCTGCAGGTGTTCACCGCCAGGTCCTGTTCACCACTGTGGGGTGGTTTGTTGGCTACTACCTGGCGAAACGTACAGATTACATCTATGCCAAAAGGGACAGAGAGCTGTTGGAGTACGTCAGGCATCACCCAGAAGACTTTAAGGTGGCAGGTACGATGAGTTGGTTTTTTAAATGAGACTTCAGCCTGCCTTATGTTCCAGTTAACAAGTGCTGGAAAACTTGTGTAAAGATATTGCTGGGCTAAGTCTCTCCTGCTTATTCACAATCTAAATTGCAACAGTATTAAGGATTTTATGATATGAAAATAGATATTTTTATTGAGCTGTTGATCTGCCTTGACGACCACCTCTTCCTCTTAAAAGCTTATTTTAATATAGAAATAGCAGAACAAAAAGAAAATAAGAATAGACCAAACTTGTACCACTGAAGAAGAAATAAAGTAATGGAAATTAGAAATCTCAGGTCTTATTCTTGTAACATCACAATTGTACTGTTTATTCTACAAAATGCCCATGCATGTAGATTCAGAAATTGCGTGATGAATATTCAGAAAACAACCAGAGCAGGTGAAAAAAGAGTAAATAGAAATGGTAGGAAGCCTGAAGTGCTGTTGGCTTAGAGCTGTGGTGAAGAACAGCAGTTTTTTACTAAATGTAGTCACTGAGCCCAAAGAGGCCGCGGCAAATTTTGGAAAATGAAAACTGTCCATTTTCTGACACAATACAGTTAGGTGACTCTGGCTGTTGGATTGTGGTCTGCATCGTGCCATGTTGGAAAGAGTATGTACAAATAAAAAAGTGTTAATATGGAGATCCCTTTGCAGGGATCTGTGGAGAGCCCTATGGGAAAGAAGTTATGCATTTAATTAAAACAGCAAGCTGGTGATTCACTGTTAGTAGCAAAAATCAGATTTTTGGTGGCTTCGTTAACCTTAAGATTTTAATATAAAACATCTTCCAGATTGATCTCAAATGCTGATTAGGTTTTCCCACCTTATACAGAAAAGAAAAGAATAGGAGACCTTTTGGAGGATTTCTACCCAGTCCGCTGAGGATTTCTCCAGCGGTGACACATCACAGGATGAATTAATGCCACACCAGGAACGTCGGCAACGTGGCTGCAACTGTTGAACCGTCCATGGCTTGGAAAGTGAAGCTTTATTCGCTTTCATGTAATAAAAGCCTGATTAAATACTTTGTGTTTAATTATTTGTTCTTCTGTTCTGTTGAAGTGTGTCAATACGTGGGTAACTGATATTTGTAACAGGATAATAACTTTGATTTATCTCTTTTTCAGTTGTTCTAATTGTGGGAGTGGGAGATTGTTCACGCAGCATATACTTTAAAAAACCCAGAGTGTAGTTGTGTAAGTTCCTCTTTATTTCTAAGTGGCATTTCTCCTGACCCTTGAGCATGCCCTTGACCAACCTGAGCAGGTGCTGCAGCCAAAGTCTTGCTGTGAAATTAGTTCTGAACAGCTAACAAAAATATATGTGCTTCCTAATTAATTCCCTCTCTATATTTTGCATTCTTATGTTGCTTTTTCTTTGATGGCAATGAGGATCCAACCTTTCTGCCTTCTCACTTGGTTGTTGGCTCCTAAATCCACATACTGAACAGAAACGTTCCAGATGGGCTGTGGATCTGCAGCTCTTACGAATGTCACTGCAGGGTGCTTGGCACCTCTGGGGTTAAAACACTTCCAGTTGAGGCTGTTCCAGTTGTGACAGTTTTTTATCTAATTACCTTTTTTTGCTGGGTTTTGCCCTGCTTCCTCCTGCACTGCCTCTGTCCCTGTGCATGTTTTGTGAGACTTCCTGCTCTGTGCAGTGTCTCAAAGCTCTTTCTCGAGCACCTCTTCCCTGGGGAGGCCTCTCGCCGTGCCCTGGGTGCTGTTCCCTCACCCCTGCTTCCCACCAGTGCTGTATAGAGGGATGGGATAGTTGGATACCTTCCAGGGTTTGATTCTGCTCTCAGGTGATGTTCCAGCAGAACTTGAGAGCTCCTTGGATTGACTGGTGGAAGTGATTGCACCAGCATAGCTGTTTGCAGCCACTGCTGCAGCTGCTGCCTACCCTGGCTCTGCCCACACCTTGTGGGCCCTCCTCGCCCAGAGGGACTGGGATGAGTGTTCCCCTGAGCTGGAAGATGTCTCTGCTGAAAGCTCATTACATTAAAAAGGGAAATGACAATCAGATGGATTAAATCACGGATTCATAGAATGGGTAAGATGGGAAGGGACCACTGAAGGTCATCTTGTCCAACCTCCCTGCTCAAGCAGGGTCCCCTAGAGCATATTACGCAGGATTCTGTCCAGACATGTCTCCAGGGAAGGAGACCCACAACTTCTCTGGGCAACCTGTTCCAGTGGTCAGTCATCTACACAGTAAAGAAGTTCTTCCTCATGTTAAGGTAGAACTTCCTGTGCATCGGTTTCTGTCCATTGCCTTTTGTCCTACTGCTCAGCACCACAGAGAAGAGACTGGATCCATCCTATTGGCACCTCCATTCAGACACTTATATACATAGATGAGAATCCCTCTAGGTCATCTCTCTCAAGGGTAAACAGGCCCAGCTCACTCAGCCTTTCCTCATAAGAGATGCTGCAGGCTCTTAATCATCTTTGTCACCCTCTGCTGGACCTGCTCCTGGAGCTCCATGACTCTCTTGTGTTGGAAACAGTGCACCAGGTGAGGCCTCACCAGGGCTGAGCAGAAGGGAAGGATCCCCTCCCTCCACTGTCTTTCCCCTGAGGACACCTTGCTGGCTCACAGCCAACTCAGCTGACAGCAGAGCCAGACCTGGGGGGCCCAAGTGTGAATTTGTGAGGTTCTTTCCTCCAGCATCTCCCTGAGCAGGCAATAGGCAGCAGCAGGAGGTACAGCCGAGACCAGAGCACCCCAAATTGAAAGGCAGGGGTGTGCAGATGGGAAACCTGCCCTGCGGGAGGGGTGGGGATGCTGGCAGCCCCCTATCCATGGGGGTGGGTAGTTGTGTGATTAGGACTTCTTGGGCCTGGTTAGAGAAGGGAATTTGGGGTTTCTTGTTCTTTTGACATTTTGGGTCAAAGCTGTACTTTCTCTCTTGTCTTCCTGACACTGAGCCTCTGTGCCCAGGTCACTGCTCTCTGCTGGCTTTGATGCCCCTTAACAGATTTAAAGGAAGTGCTGCCATCCTGATTTGCTTCAACGATATGAACAGAAAACATATTTCCCCGTGGTGGATGGCAACAGTGCGGGTGCCCCGGGAGCCTGCCCAGGGCAGCGCAGAGCCAGCACCCCCGGCCAGGCCAGAGACGACCTGATCTGCCCCGTCTGCCAAGGTCCCGCTGGGACCAGCGCTGGGTTTTTCCAGGACAAAGACCTTTCCTGTGGCCATCTAACATCTCTTATCAGCTGTGGCCAGCAGGGGTGTTCAGCAGCAGCAGGGCATCGTGAGGGCTTGACGCATCCCTGGAGCAGTGTGACGCAATGCCCTGCAATCCCAGCAGGCAGAAGGTTCCTGTGACACACCGGGGTCAGGGCCAGCTGGACAGACAGTGGCTCTTAGAGACAGACCCACAAGTCCTGGGGGGTTGCAAGTGGCGCAGAAGACGTCAGCAAGCCCTTCCAGCTGTGCCAGGACACAGACCTTTTCTGGGAACATCTTGCGTCTGTCATTGGTCGTGTTCAACAGTGATGGGGAGTGCTTCATCCTATTCCTGGTATGACACTTCACTGGAGCACCACGAGCCTCTCCAGCTGCTGAGCATGCTGCCTGAGCCCAAAGCCACTGCTGGAGGTGACTGCAGGCCTTCCTCGCTGTGGCACTGTTGTGGTTTAACCCCAGCCAGGCACCAGAACCACCAAGAGCTGCTCACTCACCCCACTACGAGTGGGATGAGGGTGAAAGTGAGAAAACACATGGATTGACATAAAGGCAGTTTAATAGGGAAAGCAAAAGCCATCCTGCAAACACAGCAAAACAAGAAATTCATTCACCACTTCCCATGGGCAGGCAGGGATTTAGCCATCTCCAGGACAGCAGAGCTCCATCACAGGTAAAAGTGACCTGTAAAGACAAACACAATCACTCCAAAAATCCCCCCTTTCTTTCTTCCTCCTCCCGCTTTACATACCGAGCACGATGTCATATGGTATGGAATATCCATTGGGTCAGCTGGGATCACCACACAACTGTCCCTGTTGTGTCTTCTCCCAGATTCCCATGCACCTCCAGCCTCCTCATCAGCATGGCAGTACAAAATACGGAAAAGGCCTGGGCGCTGTGCAAGCAATGTCAGCGATAACAATTGTTGTATTATCAACTGTGTGTTCAACACAAATCCAAAACATAGTTCCATACCAACTACGGTGAAGAAAATTAACTCTACCCCAGCAAAACCAGCACAACTGGCCTTGTTCTCCAGGAGACACAGATCCCCACACTTGAGCTCCAGACAGGTAGACCACCAGAGGGACATAGCATCCTTTGTTGGCCTCCTCTCACTGGGAACCAGTGTCCATCCATTCCTTATGGTTCAACATCCGGCTCTGCAATCATCCTGGGGGCAGAGGAACTCCAAAGGCAGTGCTCCATCATGCCCCACCTGGAGGTGGCATTGCAGTGGGAATGGCCTAGGTCTCTCCCAGTATCCCCCTCATGCTCTGTTTTCTCTTGATAAGAGAAGGATACAACTTTGCCCAGGCTGAGGAGGAACACAGTGGGGCAGATCTGCTCTGAAATCCTGATGCTGACTAGAGGGAGTTGTGTTTGGTGCCTTTTGATGAATGTGGCAAGTGGCACCTGCTTCTGCAGAAAAGCAGGACTTTGGGTAGGTAGTGCAGTTAGCAACTTGGGTGTCTGGGGCCAAAGGCCTGGGGTTCGGGCAAGCCTCCCTGCAACCC